TTCCTTTTTGTGTCTCCTGAAGCTGCCCTTGCATTTGACAAGTCTTGCTGGTACTGAAGCTCTAGTTTAGTTGAATTGCATGTTTTCACTGTGCAGTATTAGTAAGGAATGTAGGAGTGCCTTCACTGGCGTCTATGTCCTCTTATCAGTTTGTGGTTCCCAGCACTGATACTGGAGTGAGATTTACAGTCTATAAAGTCTTTAAAGGACTTCAGTGGCAAAGAGAATATTTTCACACACTTACTGGATGTTAAGTCTGTTTGCCATGACTTTAAACCAATTTGTTAGGAAAGTAAAAGATCATGTAGCTATTGTGATATTAATTAGAATCAGAATACTTTATTGATCCCGAGGGGAAATCATTTAATATTAATAATTAATAATTATATTAATACTCAATATTAATAGTAATTATTAATTAATAATATTTAATATTAATTATCACTACAGTGTCATTATTTATCTTTAAATTCATTTTAATGACTGCTAACTACGGTGCACTTTATCCAAAAATTATCCAGTATTTTATTTTGAGCATGAAATGCGGTCACTTCCGTTACGGTCTTTGTTACGTTCAACAAACCTGATCGCTTTAAGAGGCACAGCGCACGCGCGGCTTGGTGTACCCGCTTGAGGCCTCAGAAAGAGCACGAGATGCAAAGAACCAATAAGAGAACAACAGATCCACAGATCTCCAATCAACTACCTGCAACCTCCCGTAAGAACGCTACGTTCAGGTCCCAAAGGAAACCTGAAGTTTCTGACTTAAAACAATCAAATGTAACGTTCAAAGTCGCTCGAACTGGAGTTTACGTTTAAAATGATAATCTGATTGTTCCTGGCTAACGAAAAGAAGCAATTCAGTGAACTCCAGTTTCCCCTTTTCTGTGCATATATGTTACTAAAAAGGTTTTTTACTATACTGCATAATAACTCCCAAATTTGGACAAAATAATAAGAAAGTCTATGAAAAACCCTCTTACACAAACTAGCCTTCAGTGTACTCCAGAGAATTGGCTTAAAGTGTCATATAATAACAACAATAAATAACCATCATTATTGTATAGCACTATTTAAAACACATTTCTGAAACTCTTAACACATCACAGAGAGGTCTACATATCGCATCACACAGTATAGAAATATGTATATTCAACCATAAACTGTTACAGATCCTTCTTGCAAACATATTAACATTAAAGCAGTGGTGTGAATCATAGTCAATAGGAAATGGATAA